GCGTCTTTTTCTGTTGTAATGTTACACTTCTGTCCCATGTTAGGGTGAAGATTGGCGTCTGTTAAAACGTTTAAACTTGCTGCATTTGTATGCACCTGTACTAAGTCAGGAGCCTGTTGTTCAGTGTTTGTCGTTTGTTGGTGTGGTTCATAGGTGTTTCTCGTTTCTCGTTTCTCGTTTTTCATATGGATTAGACCGTTGGTTTTCCTGTTTTGTTTTACACTTATCATTTTGGGGCCCTTTATAGCTTGCTGTTCGGTATGAGCCAAGGATCCGTGTTGAAGGCCGTTCTTCGAACTATAATTGTTAACATGTTATACATTGTGACTTAGATGGAGAGTTGTCTCATTGGCACCCATGTCTCATCTTCTTATTTATATATAGGAATTATATGCGACTTTCATACACGTGAGAGGTTTAGCTAGCTATAAAACCAGGTTTAATCCACCTTTTACATTAGGAAATAGATATAAGAAGATGTGGTATGAGTGCCAATGAGTGCCAATGAGACTACTCTCCATCCAAGTCAAAATGTAAAAAGTAAACCATTATAGGTCACAATATATAATGCCTGTATCAAGTCAGGAATATGGCAGTTGTTTTTCATTCGTTTTCTGTATAATATTTAACTTTCTTGTTAAGATCTGACATTGTTACGTATTTATACATTCCGCATTATTTTTGGCTTCTCAGAATTTTCACATGGTAAACTGTCAGCAGTTACCCAACGAAAAATGTTATAGGGAACCTATTTATAAAGCATCATGCCGACAACAATTAACATGTTTTGTCACCTATAGATTTTTAATTTGATAAGGGATTTTCCGTTTTAAATTTTGCTTTGAGTTTGGTATTTTTGTTGTTTAACTTTTTTGTATGACAGTCATATATAATTCCACGGTTTTGAAAACAATGTGTGAGCAAAACAAACAGATATAGTAGTTAAAAATGTCAAAAATTGGGGTACAGCAGTCAACATTGTGTTATAATCTTAAGCACTATAAAAACAAATAACTATTTAAACAATGAAAACAAAATGACACTCTATAAACAAAGTACATCAGCAAAACTGAAAGACAAGAGTACAAAGAATGGCAACAGTAGTATACCGCTGTTCAAAAGTCATGAACAGAAACACTGAACTGCAACAAAAAACAAATGCCAACATCAATAGAAACGGACTATTTGATAACAACTGCCATATTCCTGACTTGGTACAGGACATTTTGAGAAAAAATGGTGGGTTGAACCAAGTTTTATGGCTAGCCAAACCTCCCGCCTATATGGCAATGTTAAACAATATTGCTAAAATGACAACATTACGTGACAGGAATACAGTACAAACAAACGCAAGAACACTCAGCACAGAGTAAAGCACAAAAATGACCATAGCACAATAATACAATGGCGGGATGTTTAAATACCTAGCCACGCCAAAAGTATATACCAAAAATGGACTAAATAGTAAAGGTTGAAATATACAAAGACAAATAAAAAGCACACCACATCACAAATCTCAAAGGAAAGTAGTTGGTTTTCATATTTCCACCAACAAATGGTTTTATCCGACATGTTATGCCTTCACTATCGTCTATTGTAAAAGGCCACTCGTTGACCTCTTAATGGATTATTTTTTCTAATATGACCGTCGCAGACGGGACATATTATGGTATATCATTGTCCGTTTGTCCGTTCGTCAGTTCTTTCGATAATATGCTTTAATCATGTAATGTAAACACACCTTTAATATTGACGGAAGAAATCTCCCTTTCGGTTTTGCCAGAATTGATTTCCTTAGAAAAACACATTATCGTTGGGATTGATAAAAGGAAGCTCCGTTTATTTATTTTTTAAAAAATTTATTTGTTTTTTGTTCCAGTGTTACATGATATCCGCTGACTGATAGCGTTTGATTTTGTCAGTTTTTATGGTCTTATCCTTTTGGTATTTGCCTTGGAGTTAGATGTTTTTGTTTTACTTTTTTAATTGTCAGCTTTAAATATTTTTTCACATGTTGTACCATAACTTTAGTTTGCCTTCATTCATTAACTGGGCACTTATTGTAGAAATTCGTGAACACATTTCACCGTTTGACTTAAAAACAAAATTCAATACGTCATTTTAGAGTTATTGGTCTCTGGCCGTCAGAAAAATACAAGGCCTTTTTAAGATATTAAGCAGTAGCTCCAGTATGCTTGGATCAAGTATTACAAGCCTAACACTCTTGCTGGGATTAATGAATGGAGGCTCGCATTTGATTTTGAAAGTTATCTAGTTTGTCATTTGAGAGTTTACAGTCATACTTGACGCAATATTTATAATCCTAATGGTATAATCATGCATGCTTTTTTTCTTATAATGACTAACACGATATTGAATAAGTACTTTGCCATTTTTATAGTGCGGACCATTGATTCGTTTTCTAGGCTTAGACGTTAACCCCGGATTTTAGTTGGGTTTGTGTTGCTCATTCTTTAGTTTTCATTGTTGTATTTTGTTATCTGTTGTTTGTCTGTTCACCGTTTTTCGTTTTATGACATGGCATTGTATGTTTGATTTCGATTAATAAGTTTGAATATCCTTTTGGTATAGTTTGCTTCTCTCAAACAGTTATTTATAGACATTAAATTATAACAAAATTCACAGAACAATAAAGGCATAAGACAAATGTAAACAAATGAAGGCGTAGTTCATTTCGCTCCTTGTAAAAAATGAGAAATAAAATTATGTCCCTCCCTATTAAAGTACGATATTTAAGATTTGCCTTTCAAAATAGAAATCCTCGGGTCTAATGTTAATTATTATGCATTTTAGATGATAAAATTCCACCAAGTCTTTACGGTTAGGCAATTATCAAAATAAAAATAAGAAAACCATGGGACAACTCTCCATCAGGGACCAGATGACATAGAACTAACATCTATAAGTCACCATAAGACCTTCAACAATGAACAAAACTCTTTCCGTATAGAAAGTTAAAAAGGCCCCGCAGTGACAAATGTTAAACAATTCAAACGAGAAAACTAACATTCTAGTAGAAATGTATTTGACTATAACATTGTTACATTGTTTTTTGTCTTCGATTTCATGGTTGTGATGAAACCTATATCCCTTTACTAGATCATGTTGATAAACCCATTCACTATACTTAATAAGTATCGTTCTTGTATTTGCATATATCTATTTTTTGTCTACATTTAATTGACTCTCGTCAAAAGTACAGTACACTAGGTATGCATTAAATTCAAGAAATAGGTATCAGAAATATACTAGATGATGATATTAGTATGGAATATCATGTCAGATTAAGTTATGAATCAAATTTTGGTCAGGCGATCTCTAAAGACTGTTCTCTTTTTCTTGTTATGCTGAACCTTATTGGAACATAAAACCCAGCATAACAGGTACCTACTAGTTTTTTTAAGAGTTACAATTGAATGTCGTATCGATAGAATAAAAACAAATGCAAAACGTTTTTGCTGCATATTATTGTACATTGATGAACATGCAGTAAACTATACCATCGTTTTTATAAATAAAAATAATTTATCATTTTAGGTGACAGTAATAATCTAGATGATGTTACAGATTGTATACCAGCAAATTGTGGTCACGTTAATATGACACTTCGTACACATTATCTCTATAAAGTGAACTAATAACATTAATGTTTTGATCCTGATTTCACAGTTAATTGAACCCGGAACCGATTGACACATGTTCTGGTAAAACATGTGGCAGTTTCATGTAAAATGTTAATTTCTCGATCTCGAATGTATAATGAAATATTTTGCACCAGCTCAGGTTGAAAATTTGTCAATGTTTTTTTGCAATGGGATTTAGTATCATCATCACCGGTTCCAATGTATTGTTTCCATAGAACAGCTAATTCTAACGAGTTTCATAACGAGTGAGAATGGGATATCGCTTGATATCAACTAGAAATATTTAATTTCAATATAATAATAATCGAGCCTTTTGCTAGTAAATTATTACTGTTCAAATTAAATAACGACAATTGATATCAAGCGATATCCAATTCTCACGAGTTATTAGACATCTTATGGTTAACATTCTCATTGTCTTAAATTCAAAATTATTCCGCTGATTGTTGATCTAGTCCCTTGCACTAGCATACCGGTATAACGTGAGATGTTTTGTTCAGATATCAAACTTTAGCATCAGACATTTTAATTTATTTGTATGCATAAGAATGTAATAGAGTTAGATAAAAAGAAGATTTTCATATGAAAAGTATGAGTGTTTTGTATATTACTGAAAAAATCATATATCACCGTTGCCATGGGCGAAATGTTCATTGTCTTAATCTTTGAAATTCATCAATGACCTAACGAAGAGCCAATGAAAATGTCGTAATAGTGTCTCATGATGTTGGATAAGCCAAGAAACTTAAACACTTCTTTCTTATTACTTTTCGTATCACACTCCTAGCTGTGTGATAGAAGAAATATATCTGCATGCGAGAAATAGATAACTGGCCACAACTATAAGAAATGTTATAATCATGTGCACGGGAGTGTGTTAATTATCCTTTTATAGATTTGTTTTATTGTTATCACTATATTTATTGATGTAACTTGCAAAAAATATAGTAAGATCCATATTTTTGCACTTCTGAATTCACAAAACAAATGGTTCATCTGCATCGGTTATTTTTTATTTAATAGTTGTAAATCAGGCAGTTAGTTTTTATTTAGAACTGGTTTTTTTTTCCATGTCGGGCCAATTATAGATAACTGTACGATATGTGTTCTGCTCATTGTGTAAGATTTCGTTTTGTAGTTTTTAATAGTTATCTTATTGACAATCAGACCACATATCCTTATTTCTTACAAATGTTCTAACCCTTTTACACACATAACTTTCATCAATGTCATATGGACCTTGATGAGTAGTTGCTCTATTTGCAACCATACCATATCCTTGTATTTATATGACATATAGACATCAGCATCTTTGAAAAATGACATTATACTTAATAAAATGAAATAGTTTATTAAAAATATTTACAATGAATATTATATACAGCAGTCATCATTAACACACATGTTGACATAAGGTTAAAATAGTATGAGTATGCAACCGAAATTGCAGAGTGTCTACGTCCTAGAATTATAGATGATTACTGATTGCATCATCATACATACCAAAACTAGATTTAAAAAAAAACCACTTGCATCGAAACACAAATGCCAACTCAACATTTATGAATTTTGTAAACATTTCGAAAATCTTTTTCTTTCTTGTTCACACGTCAGGTTATCAAAAATCCTTTGATTCAATAAAACTTTGGGTCTTATTAATTATGCCTGATCTTAAATTAGAAATGTTTGGTTATCAAAAAATGAAAACAGACTGCGCTGCAGTTGACACAATAAGAACAGCAGCGTTTTGTTTTTATATTTTTATAACTAGATTATCATTTTTTCTAAACTAAGTGCATGTTCATAGAAATTATTTGCATACAAAGACAAAATTCAAAGAACAACACACTCTAGACAGCCAAACTTGGTACAAAATAATGATAATCAAGTTATACAAGCACACACCTCCCACGTTCACCTATTCAGATCTTATGTTGTAATTCAAAACGCACTATAAAAATCCTGCACATTCAAGCTCCCAAACGTTTTGACGACTTAATTGAAAAAGGCAAAATTATAATTGAAATTGACAGTGTTTTAGGGAAGACATGTAATAATCAAGAGAGAGTTAGACCATCGTCTGAAATAACCATTCTAACCGAAGAAAGTATTACATATTTATGATGGAAGCCCTTGCTAACCCATGTTTAAATGTCAATGAAGTTCTTCGGTAATAACATAGAAGTTAAGATGCGAAATATCGTCTAAAACTGTTTTTGTACGAGAAATATTTGAAAATTTTATTTACCTTTATATTTAAAAATAATATTCTTATGAGGTTCTTCGTGTTCAGCAATTACATGTGACAAACATATCAATATACCTTCTTTTACACGATAATTAATACGATAAATTGAATGTTAACGTGATCACAATGTTAAACCTAAAAACTAAACAAAAACGACATTTCACCACATCTGGTCATTATGAATACTCTTATCTTACCTTTGGTTTATATTCTAACTGTTTCAACCTTGTATGCATTTTCTTCCTTTGGGTTGATCAAACAGGTTATTGTTTTGACAACTCAAACATTAGGCGAGTATACTACATCTAAATGACAGCGGTGATTTCTTAGTACAGTTAAAAAAATGTTATAAACACAGAATGTATATACAATGGGATGATATCTTGGTTTGAAATATATAACTTTAACAGAATCGTCTAATGTGCAATTTTCTTTTTTGTCGCGCGCTAATAACACCCAAAACACCTACATACACACATATTAAACCAATAACCAATATAAGATATTAAAACAAGTTTGTACTTATTAGAATAAGTCATTTGAGTCATAAATCATAAAAATGAATCGGACGTCTTCATTTTTAGTTGTAAACAGGGTCTGTCTTGTTGTTTAGTGACTGACGATAGTTCCCAGATACATCGTAGTCATCATCTGTAATTCTTATGCGTATAACGCCGTAATCACCATCGCAGGTGTCATGAACAGTATTGTGTACTGTGTGATCATACATGACGTCTGAATCATCCATAGTATTCCGAAGATGTGAATACGTAGTTGAGTCTTCCTTTATTACACCATCATTTGTCAGGATACTCCGTTTTTGTGCATGGCATAGTTTAACGTCATGGGAATGCAAATTATCATCTGTCCTGTTGTCTAAATTAATGTCATGTGATGTTGCAAGATATATGGCATCAGGTGAATTCATGAAGTAAGATTGTTCGTAATTCTCTGGTTCTCTTTGTCTTTTAGTAATATCACAAGTTGGGTTTAATTTTGTAATCACCTTGTTCTTGTTTGTCCTCTGTGCATTGCGCCAGTCACTACAGTTGCGTCTCCTACAAACGGAAAATTAAATCTTATTATATTCGAGTGTAATGTATGTTTAAGCGAAACATTTCATTTAGTTACGTGCATTATATTTTGTTTTACTTTTTACTGCAAGTCTTAAAAATGAAGAAAATGGAGGTAACGTTAGCTACTATTGATTTTCCCGCTCTTTTATTTCAAAAAGTTTGAAGAAATGTAATTTGTTTAATAAATACAACCAAAAGAATATCGATTACTGATATAATATACACCAAGATATAAAAAGAAAAAAAATGCGTTTACGTTTGGTTTAAATGTCTCGAGCTATGTAGTTTTGTCAGTTTATCTATCTTTGTCAAACAAGTAAAATTAAAAAAAAACACATAGTTTATTAGTCTGCTTTTCTTCAATACTTTGGTTAGTTAAAAAGATGAAATAATATATATTATCGCTATGTTTGTAAGTTGTGGTAAAAAAAAATACTTTTCTTTCTCCGGGCCTTTACTGATTACACTATTATATGTATTGCGCATTTGTTCCCATTCTGGACATATATCGCATGTTTGCATTTGAACATTAAGTAAACAAATATTCGATGCAGTCTTGTCTAAATTGTCGTACTTAAAGTTGTTTTACGTTTCATTATTATTTTAAATTCACTGATAACCTATCTGCTGACTTTAAAATATTGTCAAAATCTGTACCACACAGAGAAATACGTTTGACTCGATCATACCTTAGTACAACAACTCCAACAATAATGCATATGATGAGTAACACGCCTACTCTTCCTCCAACAATAAAAGCATAGGTCGGAATACCTATAAAAATAACGTCAAAATACATATGAACATATAAGTAAATATTAAATAATACGGTATCCAAAGGTTTAAATCAATTATAGTCTTTTCGTATCATAACCATTTGTAACATCCATTTTGTATCAAAACTGTTCCTTACCATGACCTTGTCATATGAAACAGTTATATGTGTGCCATGTTTAAGATAATAAGCATGACATTTCGTACTACATGAAAGAATTATATGTGTGTCTTATCGTACTATATGGAAGAATTATATGTGTGCATTATCGTACCATATGCAAGACTTAAATGTATGCAGTTTCGTACTGTATAGGGAAATCAAATTGTTATTATGTAAATTTATCTAAGAACCTGTGTTTACCTTTTATTTGTTTTTAATAAATCTGGTTTTTTTTTAAATGAACAGAAATCAATGTTGGAACAAGTTTCACTGATTTACACAATAAACAATGGTTCAAAATAGTAAATATGTGTTTATACTGGTTTAATCTTCACATCGACTTTTAAAGTAGAAAACTTGAATGATGAATAAGTACCGTAACGTGCAAAGAGAAATATGACAAAAGGGGAATTTAAAGCATAGCTACATTTATCTAAGGTAATCATTACTTGAGGGCGTTGAAACTTTTTTTTTCTTGGTTATTTTTTTAATCAGTATCGAGAGAATGTAAGAAAATTTGTTTCAAACCAGGACAAATTCTTAAGGTCATTCTAAACAAATATGGAACAATCTCACAAATTTGCCTACCATTGGATTTCACATTTCTGTCATGGCCTGGTATGCTATAGCCACCTGAAAAAAGATATCTCAAAAATATAAAATGATATATTTTACTGTAAGTGAAATACTTAACAAGCACAAGCAAAAAAAGCAAAAAAAAAAAAACTCATTTAACAAAACAAAATTTTAGGAGTTATTTGGACAAATATATAATCACTAAATTAATCTACCATGATATTTTGTCCTTCTGACAACAAGTATACTCATCACGTGGTGGAATTGTGTTTACCCTAACAAAGTCATACGTAACATACCACATTGGATTTGTATGAGTTTCTGGACTGAGAAATAAAACGTTTTCGAATGCATGAATTATTTACACGAATTGGATTCTTAAGATTACCGAATCTTGTATTATCAATGAAAATGAGACCTATCAAAGATCAGTAATCCACTGAAAACTATTCAGTTAACAACAAAAGCTTTAAGATATGAACAAAAAATTGAAGAGATTTCTATCCAGTGCAGCATTGTGGTTATGTTTTAAAAAGACGAAAAGCTAACACATTAAAAGTACGGATAATACGCAAAAACTATAACGGAAAATCCCTTAAAAAAAACCATAAACAAACAAAAACAGTATGAAGAGGTTTTTTGGACCAAACATTTTATTATCAAATCAACCTACCATGAGATTCCGTACTTCTGTTATCAACTGGTTTGAAAACTCAAATAACAATGATATTATAAACATAAAACATATTTATTTTGCAATTTCATTGTTTGATAATGTACATAGCGATGCTGCATGCTGCATGCGACTATTATCTCACAACATCTTAAAAAAAACCCTCGTAAGTCATTATTATTTTAGTACAATTTAGGATCATTTTCATCGAAAGATTTTTTGTGAAACCAAATTGAATGCCAAAATGTAAACCTGAAGCATTTTGCTAAACGCAACCTAAAATATATATATTATATTCAAATTAATATTTTGTGAATTTCACTGCACAACAATACAGCAAATAAGGTACATTTAATGAATAAGTAATCAACAATACTGTAAACATTCTTCAGATACCAAAAAGCTTTAAGATATAATAAAACATTGATGAGGTTATTGTCTTAGCACAGGGACTTGCATATATGACGGGGTTAAAGTAATCTTTGAACATAGTAATACCTACTACTTTTCTACGATATAAGATATGCCTGGATTGACCCTTTTACATATGTGGCTACTTAAAGTTGGTGAATCTTTTAGTGTCAACATAAACTAATCTTTGACCAATTGTCCAGTTCAGTATTGGTTAATTTTTATACAAGGGCTTAATGTTGACAAAGGATAAATCAACAAGAACAAACGCACAAAAAGTAGCAAGAAACAAAGACTCGTTTGTTGATCAATTAAAACAAAACCGTTGAGAGGTATTGAAGGTCTTTGCACTTGAGAAATCACAATTAATTGTTGATACTTAAAGTTGAAATGAACTTTATTAAGGATATATCAAAGCAAGCCATGCAAACAGAGATTTGCAACAGGGAGGTACATTGCTTGATTTGAAATGATTATTAAAAAATTGTAAAAAAAAGTATATAAAAGTTTAAGTCATATGAAACGACTTTCTTAAAATTATTATGTTAAGGAAAATATTGAACCAATGCATGTAGATATACTGAACTAAGTCTTCTATGCACGATGTTTGATATTTATTCCGAATCTATAACGTATAATCGGCAAAACTTTGTCATTCTGTGAAAAACTGGCTTGCTAAATAACTTTCGGATATATTGCCAAATTTTGCTGAATATGAATTTTATGAACAATAAACACATAATCATGGAGCACGTTACAATTAAGTAAGATAATAGACATGCAATAGAGCGGTGTTTTTTTTTTTTATTTTTCCATGCATTTTCATTTGTAGTTTTGTCTTTGTCATAACGCTGCAGTTGTTTAATGATTATAGACATTATTTGTTTTATTTCAAAATCAATTAACACTATCTGACATTAACGTTTGTTTACTGTTTTCATAATTGGTTTCCCTTCGCACTTGCGCTGTGCGGTTGTCGAAGTACCGACGAGAGGTCTCGTGGTTTAGCTCACCGCAAACCGAAAAGCTATCGACGAACTAGAGTACGGGAGAATTTAATAGCAGTTCATTTCTGAAATTTTCATAAGACAAAGAATGTTCTTTGAAAAAAAATCAATTTACACGTGTTTTATAGTTAAACTTTGCCATTCAGGTTTACACGTATTCAACTTTATTTTCAGATTAGAATTATCCTATGACTTTAAATACTTGAGGTTACTTAAGAACCCTTGTTAAAAATATATTTTATTTATAAAAAAAAATATATCAAATACAAACAGGACCGTATATTTTTTGGGTTTCTCAGATAAGAAGTACCTGTTTTTGTACTACTTAACTTCCTAGAATCAGTGCGCTTGACTATGCAATTATAGATATGTTGAATTTTTCAGCACAAGCCAACGTTAACAAAATGTTTTCACTAAAAGTTGAATATGTTTTATATACCTGACGTTTTACTATAAAACAAGTGTACGTGAACTTTAATATTATTACCTTGGTATTATTAAAATCTTCATACATGTATTGCTATTCAATTATTTTCTTCCTGTACTCTTACTCGCCGATATTTGTTCCGTATGCAGTGACTTTAACTACGAGATCTCTCGTTAGAATGTCTGCCATCGTACATATCGCAAGTGCGAGGAGAAAACCGTGATGAAAGAATGTAATAAAACGTGCACTGGAAGGTAAAAAGTAATAACTGGTTTTTAAATAACAAATTTAATATACCAAAAACATTTAACAACTGTTAATGAACAGTTTCATTAACAAATGGGAACGCATGGAAAGTACAAAAAAAAATGTCGTGGCTCTATCAATCCACTTATTGTGCACGCACTCCATATGCTCTGTGTTGATTGTTTATTAATGTCAAGATCAGGTAAACTTCGGCAACAAACCGAAAGGTAATTAGCTTGCGATCAACAGTCACTGAATGAAATATTACTTGTCGATAATACGTTATAGAATCGTAATAAATGTTAAAAAAAAACGCGCAAAGAGTACTTAATTTAGTATTTAATCATGCATTGGTTCAATAATTTCGATAACATTATAATTAAACTCATTTCATATGTCATATTTCATAGATCGCTTCTGTCCAGATTGACCTTAGGATGTAACGAACAACTAAAAGTATATATTTTTGTTGAAAACTTTTTTGTTTCGGAGGAGAATCACACACAGAAATAACAAGCAATTAGCATAGCAGAACATTACAGAACATAACGCAAAGCAAACAAAATTATTGGAAAATTAACCTACCATGAGATTTCGTACTTCTGTCATCAACTGGTATGCCACCTGAAATAACAATGATTTTTAAGTTAGATTCACTGTATACCGCCATCTAGGCTTGTATCATAGCAGTACGCAATCGATCTAGTTATTTGCCTAAATCTGCAAATTTTGAGACAGATTTGTAATTTATGCCTAAGACTGTTTATTTGTATAAAGAAAAATAAGTGATGTATTGCATGATCCGAAATGTTTAAACAAATATTTGAGTTTTGTTGAATCAATTTTTCAACATAGCCATTTAAGGGGAGATAGCTCTCATAGTACAACATTGATACTGGAATGATAGTGAAATTTTCATTGTTTACTTGTAGCAAGAAAATAAGTTCGGTGACATCATTTTTTATATGTATTTTCTTAAAGCATATTATAAATACTATCTCATATTTTATTTAAAAATTCTATCTCATAGATTTCCTTTTATTCACAAAAATGTGTTTTTTCATGAACAATCTATGGAAATTTTGGCAATTTTGCACGATTTGTAGCTTGCAAAATAGCACGGTGACCCATATATTTCATGATATTTTTGAAAACAAGCATGGTAAAATCTTCATTTTGTCAAAGTATAAGAAAATTCTATCTGAGGAAACATATACCGATGATCCACCTGAAGACATAAAATATATGTGAAATTTCACTTCTTGTTTGATGATATACATATTCTTCTGCATAAAAGACAGAATAATTGATACGTTTGAATCTGTCCATTGCTAGTAGGGTAATAACAAAATTGACCGCCTTAATAGTAAACCTGTAACATTGTCCTAGACACAACCACAGACATAATCCATTGTATATTTCATTACACTATAGTAAAAAAAAAAGATTCATTTAATGAACAAATCAGTAAAACGTAAACAAATAATGTGATAGGGTATTTCTTAAAAAGCGATTAATCTATTGTTTATCAACATAGAACTGAGAATACACTATATAATTAATAAAATAAATTACCCGGCCATTTTTATTTATTAAAGGCAAATAGTCCAGCAGCTAAGTCATTTTTTTTTTGCATAATTGATCATTTTATGGTAAAAGCATAAATCTTTGCACGTATTGTTAAAATGATACTAACATGACTAATGAACATTTTTGGATATAAAGCCATATATAACAACAGATGGCCGAGATAAGGTACTGAGATTGTAACACCATACACATACCAAGAGTTCGGTACATATTCAAGTATCGTATCAAACGAAAGCCTTGAGTATTAGCTCTTTGAATATTATCAGGTTTTGTAACTTCAGTGTTTTACAATTATTCTCACAATTGAAATATATACTAAAATATACTCCTACCCCCATGTAAAATTGTCAAAAATGCCAAAACAGTTCTGTCACTTGTGAATATAACCATAAATGTAACACACTATTGTGATTTGATGTATTTTGCACAATAATCGACAATAGTATCACTATCTTTCAAACTTTTCAATTAGAAACTTCACAGATTAACAACTTAAATACTTCAACCGAAGTATAACCTTGCAAAAAGAGTTAGTAACTATGACTTTCTTAATATGCTCATATTCATCCTGTCAACATCAAAATATATAATTATGTTGTATCCAAAACTTCTGGGTTTCCCATGTGCAGAAATAAAACATACTTTTTTCAAACCCCAGCGATATCTTATTTGATAATATAAAAATGTATTAAAAATGAAAAATATTACCCTTACTCATGCAAAATCTGAGCAAAAAAAGGTTATAAATTATCCAAAGGCTAAATACACACAATGAAACAATAATTTGGTTTAGAAGATTTAAAGTTTATTTTGTAAACAGAGAAATTAAATTTGAGCAAAAATACAAAAATAGGACTAGTCATGGCTTAAATTTACACAACTTAACAATAATTTGATCAAATTATTAGCATTTATATTGAATCCATATATTCTAAGTAGTCTAAGTGCAGAGTGTCTAAAGTCACATGAAATATAATAGCCCAGTCCCAAACATATACATGCATGTATAAATCATCAAACTTTTGAGGTAGGGTATTATTTTCAATTTCGTTGTGATTTAACCTGCAGAATTAATAAAAAAAAATCGTGTTTTATAGCACTCCAATACATTAATGATTCATTGATACCATCATATTCTATGTTAACAAATGCATTTAATTCTCGGAAAAGTGAACAGGCAAAATTTTGGATAATCTGAAAATTTTGAAAAAAATTGAAATGGTCTTTCTTTAAAATTTTGCCGTTACATAAATGTAGTTGAACAATATTGGATACTTTAAATATAGGTATTTGATTTAAATGAAAGAAATTTGAATGAATTTGAAATTAAGTTTTAATGATTTCAAGCCATTTTCGATTATTTATTTTTATATTTTTGCTCCAATTGTATGCTGTTGGGGTAATATTTTCCGTTTTAAAAATATTTCGATTCACATATAACTTGATGTCCTATGCTTATGAGACATCAAAATCATATTTTCATCTAAGAAATTATTATTTTCGGAATAACATAAGTATTTCGAGTTCAGACGGATAAAAATGACACATTTTGAAATATCTGAGATATTTGAAAAATCAGAAATTGTTTGTTTTAAAGAAAATAAGTGTAAATAGTCTAGAGTAATGATAATGCATGTGTTTCATTTAGATGCGAGTACTGTAATTTGAACCAACACATTATCTAGATATGTGATTTTATCCTTCATTAGTCGAATTTGTATGTTTCTGTTCAAATTTGCAAAGGGTAGGAGTAATATTTTATATTGCCGTAATGAATTGTACAAGAACATGATAGCTCTCTGGGGTTCAGAAGATGTCAAATACATTGTTGCATGCAATATGGCCAAATCTTCAATGTTACCTTTCAAAAGTATAAAAATAATAAACTTTATACAGTCTGGAGAATCTATAAAACTAAAAGTTTCCTCATTTTCAAAACTGAAGCAACATAAATAAAGGCAACGGTAGTATATCGTTGACAGAGACAGGACAGAGAAACACATAAATAAATAATATAATAGTACATAAATGGTATAAATCATTTTAGATGGTTGAATAAACATATGTTGTATATGAATACTACTGATTTTTACCAGGTAATTTTAAGTCGAATAAATAATGGTGTTAAATTCATAGTTTTGTGTTAAAATATGTTGGGGTAGGGGTAATATGTTCCATTACTTAAGGTTAAACACCATCAAAATTACAAAGTGTTGCTGTTCATTAGAAAGGGTAAATAAAGGCAACAGTAGTATACCGCTGTTCAATTAGATTAAGCAAAAACAAATCCGGATAACAAACTAAAACTGAGGGAACACATCAACTATATAGGGAAAACAACAGAACAACAGAAACACTGACCTACAACAAAAGCAAACACCAACATACATTGAAACGGACTGTAGGATAACAACTGCCATATTCCTGTCTTGGTACAGGACATTTTAAGACAAAATTGTGGGTTGAACCTGGTTTTATCGCAAGCAAAAACTCCCGTTTATATGGCAATGTTAAAATGACAACACTGCGTGACAGGAATGCTGTACAAACAAACGCAAGAACACTCAGCACAGAGAAATACATTAATAAATAATATAATAGTACATTACAACATGTCATGTAAACCGCACAAGAACAACGGACACCTCCCATGAATATACGACAGCACACCAGGCCACCACAAACGAAATATAAACTGAGCGTAACATAAATGGATCAACGTCAGTTCATATTATCACAGGTAAATTTCTAAAAATAAAAAAGATTTGTTTAATTTATAGACACTTACAAGAATATAAATTGGGATTGAATTTGTAATGATGTAATTTTATGTATTTTTCAAACCATGACAAGCAGTGTTCTATAAAATGGTAACCATCAAATTAATGATTAAAATAATATTTGAATAAAAAACGAAATAGGGTAAAATCTTTCTAATATTCTAACCACAAAAGATTCAAATACCGCAAATATATTAAGTTATTACAATTAGTATTCATAGACATCAAATTGTCAATAAGTGTTTATATTTTAATTATTTTGGAACAACGAATATACGTTTGTTTTAGCCTTTTTCGTGGGATGGGTTAGTCCAGCAGCTAAGTCCCATATGTTGGCATAATGTATCACTTTATGATAAAAGCATGAATCTTTGCACAGTATGAGTTATGATGCTAATAAATATTTTTGGTTATGAAGCCACGAAAAAAAATCCAATATGGCCGCCAAATCAATGATGACTCACATAAGATACTGGAAATACAACACCATATACATGATGTTGTTTAACAATGTGCAAGAGTTCAGTACATATTCAAGTATGGTATGAAATATAAGTCTAGGAAATTGGCTTTCTAAACATCAGGTTTTCAGCTTTGTTGGTCACAACTCTTCATCTCAATTGAAATATATGCAACTACTCCCTGATCCCTTCTTTCTGTACCCAGTACACAGACCCATCAAATACAGTATAATAGGTCATTTTACTTCATAAACAAATATGGTAAACATTGTATAGTATATATGATAATTTTTGTCTATCTTTGATGAATATGGATTACACCCATCAATGAAATACAAGAAAATAACGAAATAATCTTTAGTTAATAAAGTGTTTATATATAATGTAAACGTCTTGACAGTTGGTGGAAGTCTTAGAAATTTACGAGTTTTTTGTTGTCAGGTATGTTGATAAGTTGAAACGAACCGTGGATTAGACCATTTACATTAATTTGGACTGAATTTAGGAATTAATAGTTTTACAAAGGTTTATATGTTTTTTTTCTTATATTTTCACTTTGAGCGAATTTTCTGTTTAGCAAGTACAGATTTAAAAAGATGAAAATAACACTTTTTTAAATATCGTGCGTCCGAAGCGCTTTTCTGTATCAGGAATGCTTTAATCTAAACAGTTGAGATGCGTAAATGTTTAGGTACCCAAGCACGTTATGAGTTGTATGACCAAAAGTGACATAAAAAATATGCCAAACATAATTTGTTAGCGTCTGAAGCACTTTGATGGATTAACCTTTAATAGGAACGTTTACAGCCGTATATTTTAAAGCCAACGATGTATTAGTACCGAAACACGTAAAGAGCTATGTATATAAAGAAACATTAAAAGAAATTTAAGGAAATTTGTTATAAACCATATATGCCCGCAAAACAACTGTTTGCTGTCATATATCAAATATCTTTTCGATATATTAAGACACAAAAAGTATACGCAAGATAAGTTTGCGGCAGTCAAAAAAACTGATAAACAGAAAAAAATCAAAAGGTTTTTAAACCAGATAGGTTGAGATACCCCATTATATGAACAAATTCTTAAAATCCTTCCACAGAAAGATGGGGAGACCTCAAAAATGTACCTACCAGGGGATTCAATACTTGTATCACTGCCAGGTATGCTATAGCCATTTGAAATAAATCATTTTACAAATATAAAAAGATGTTATATTTCAATGCAAGTGCAACATTTAGCAAACAAAACAAATTAGCATATAAGCAGAACTTCACAAAATAAAACAAATTTCTGGATTTAGTTGGACAAACATTCAATCAATAAATGAACCTACCATGAGATGTTGTCCTTCTGTCATTAACTGGTTTGAAAACTGAAAATAATAATGATATTCAACACATAAAACATATGTAGAATTTAAAGACATGTTTCGTTTGTGTTGGATATCAAACTCATCACGTGGTGGAATTGGTGTTTACCCTAATGGAGTCTAACTTCACATACCACATTGAAATTGTAATATTGTCTGGATTCAGAAAGGTTTTTCATACGTATTATTGACATTTCGTGTATAACAATTCAATTATGCAATTTAAACCAAAAATTCAAATGTACAACGAAGTTTTCGGCAAAACTACGATATCAAATATCCATGAAAATACAAATTCGCGAAAATTAGTCCCAACGAAAGTAAATGAATCCAAAGTGTCAATCTTTAAATAGCTCACAATTCAGATAACAACAAAGCTTTAAGATATGGTAAAAAATAGAGATGTCTGTCCAGTACAGCATTGTGCTTATGTTTTAAAAAGACAGAAAGCTTACACATAAAAAGTATGGATAAAACGCAAAAAACTATTACGGAAAAAAACCCATAAATAAACGAACAAACCATAAACTAAGAACCAATATGAAGAGGTTTTATTGGCCAAACATTAAATTATTAAATTAATCTACCATGAGATTCCGTACTTCTGCCATCAACTGGTAAGACAACTGAAAAAAACAATGATATTATAAACATAAAACATATGTGCAATTTCACTGATTGATACTGTACATTGCAATGCTGCACAAAGGTCAGCAGCTAAACATCTTACCAAAAAAAAATACTCGTAGGTCATTTTTATTTTAGTATAATTTAGGACCATTTTGCATCGAATTTTTTTTGTGAAAAAATATGCTGGATATAAGATAGTTTTGAATCTGTTCATTTATACGGAGAAACATGATTAATCGCAATAATGTAAAGTTGAAACATTTCGCTAAACACAACATAAAATATGAAAGTTTGTGTATTTCATTGCACAAAAACACAAAAAATACGGTACATTTAATGAATAAGAAATCAAAAATTGATGTCATACTGTGATAATTTATTCCGTGAAACCCTATACACATATTTTGTTTAGCGACATCGGCCTTGAAACAGAGAATCACTTATATAACTGGTAAAATAGATCGGAGAATCTGCCATTTTTAATTTTAATAAATGAAACGAGGGGTATGATAGACTTCAGTTAGTCCCTGAAATTGCATATGTAGAATATAATGCACAAAACCTCCTTTGCAGATCGAAAATGTAATCACCCAATAACGTTTGTGTTAGAACTCGATACATAATTAAACCAGGTTTTACACTGATGTAGTCTTGCTTAAATTAACACACTGGAATTGTACGATTATTTGTGGACTTCTAAAATTGCATACATAATTGACAAAGATAGGATAACATAGAAATTATGGAGCTTAATATTTTATTTCTCACATTCTGTGTCTCGTATAACGGTACAAAAAGGAATATTACAAAAGATCATATTTATTGTTGTGTTTGCAAAATGTTACAGGTCTACCATTATGATGTTTCATTTTGTTATTTCCCTAAGTATACTTAAAAATTCATGAATTTCACGTTTTTCTTCTTATCTTATTATCTCAAAAATAATGAAGATATGATAATGTTCAGATCTGCACCTGAAGCAATAGATATAGAACTGCTGAATAGGATGTAAGCTTAACCCTGGCCTTGTTGTAGTTGTGTAATAATTGAATCGTCGTAATAATTCGAAAACCTATTTTGCAATGTTTATATAATAATAAGGAGATGTGGTATGATTGCCAATGAGACAACTATCCACCAAAGATCAAATAAAGTGTATGTAAGCTATAGGCAACCGTACGGCCTTCAACAATGAGAAAAAGCCATACCGTATAGTCGGCTATAAAAGGCCCCGACAGACATGAACAGGCATTTAACCGGAATCAAAAACCGGACAACCACTAAACTACATGCTCCTGATTTGGGACATGCACGTAAAGAGTGTGGCAATTGTTTATTGGTCAGCAATCTCATTTGAAAGCAAGCCAAGCAGTTTTTAAAGTCATGTCGACATGAAGTCATATGCTTAACCATATAGATATATTTTTTTTTCATGAATAATATCTTTTATTTCAAATCGCCTGGAATACATAAACCATCAGTAGTCCAGAGCAGCTTACAGAGGGTCCATGCTTTTATTTTACACATCCCATTTGTCAGACAAAATACAAATGGTGAAGAAAATGCTCTCTAGATAATATATTATATCATATACAAACCAGCATCTGTTTTCAATTAGTTGCTGTATTCTACACACCTTGAAATCGTGCATTTTTATATAAATTTATCATTTTTTAAATGCAATTATAAAAACATATTTAACTGTTATTTGTCAATTATTTTTCTTTCTAACCATTTGTACTGCTTAAAGTTCAAATTCTATCTCGTGTAAATAAAAAGACAACCAATTATGAAATCTTTTGTTATTCAAATTGTGTTTCCGGTTAAATGCCTGTTAAATACTGACATCGACACGACACGGCACTTGCCTCAAACACATAAATAGAAAAGTATCGTTTAAGAAAAATATCTTTCTGTTTACACTTGTTTTGATGCTTTAAGCGGCAATTTAGTTATACTGGACGAATGATAATGGACAGTTTTTAAAACAAAATTATGTTAAACCGTCGATTCAATTTCATGATTTAATTCTGGCTGCCTGATTCTACAGTGTGTGAAGTCTTGTGTCTTTTGTTTCTTATTTGTTTTTGTTTATTTTTTAACTTTACTGTTTAGTCCATTTTTGGTAATATGCTTTTTGAGTGGCTCGGTATTTATATATCCCGCCATAGTGTTATTGTGCTATGGACTTTTTGTCTTCTTGTCATTCATTTTCGCTTATGTACTTTGTCTATAGAGTGTCTATATGCCGTTTTGTTTTTCTTTGTTGAAATAGCTGCTATTTGTTTTTATAGTGATTAAGATTATAACACAATGCTGACTGTTGTACCCCAATTTTTTACATTTTTACGTTTTATGTCTGTTTGTTTTGCTCACACATTGTTGTGGAATTATATGCGACTGTCATACAAGTGAGAGGTTTAGCTAGCTATAACACCAGGTTTAATCCACCATTTTCTACATAAGGAAATGCCTGTACCAATTCAGGAATAATACAGTTGTTTTCCATTCGTTTGGTGTGTTTGAGCTTTTGATTTTACCATTTAATAAAGGGCTTTCCGTTTTGAATTTTTCTGGAGTTTAGTATTTTTGCTTTTTTACCGTTTGTTATTTTACTTTTTTCTGTTCAAAATATGCAGGATTACCAGTCAGTTCGGATTGTTATTCTAGATATGCTTGCAGTTGGTTAAAGCATGCAACCATTCTCGGTTTTCCCCTCCGTTGTTATTAGTTCTTTTTTATAACGACCATGATTGTGCTTACGGAAATAATATGATTGACAAAAATAAAACTTACTTTTCCATTTTTAGAGAACATGTAAAATTTGTCATATAATACATTTATGACAATCTAAAGATTGTTTCGATATCTTGGCGTTAGTTATGGCAAGTTTTAAAGAATAATGAAATGTGAAACTGTATGGACATTTTTTCACAACAGATCCGGGATATTTGTTAAACGCTCATTTCAAAGCAATGTGAACTATATCAGGAACCTCTCTTGTCGTTTTCAATTGCAAAAACAATGAAATTAACATAAAAAACATATTAAAGCAATTTGTAATAAGTACTAAAAGCCATTCAGAACAATAAATTGTAATGTTAAATGTAAAAAGGAATATGGCTTCACAGTGATAGAACTGATCGGGTTGAAGATTAAATTGAAATAAAAGTTTCGGAGGACAATTCCGTATTGAAATGCATTTGTGACGGATTGGTGTGTCAGATTCAAAATATAATTTTTTGGAAAACAGAATTAACCAGATTTCAAATGAAAGTGTTATTGTATAAAATATATTGCAAAGTGTATTTGTAAAATAAATACAACTGAAATGAATCATTATTGTCTTATTATAAACGGAAGCAGGTAAATGTCGTGTTAGCTACAACTGCTGAAATAAAAACGATTACATAATTTTATTCGTAAACATCTGAAATCAAAAGCATTGTCGATTTTTATCATTAATGTTTTTTTTTACACTTGCATGTTCAAATATAGCCAAGATTCGTTTAAGTATATCAGCGATTTTTTTTTTATATAAGCTGCATAACGCTACAAATACCTATTCTTTCAATTGAAAACATTTACAGGTGTGTGTTTTTTGGGTGCATTAAACTCACTAACTAAACGTCTTTTCAGGTTTCGCCGCTCCACTAACTCTTTAAGGCAACGTTTACATTACATGAATTTTGCATTACTTTTTAGATTCGTTTTGTCATATATCTCGTATATGATATTCTGGTGAAGGTAAATCATGAAAAGCGCTTCGGATGTACACACTTTGTAAAGTGTTATTTCAAATCTACGTCAAATGTTTAATACGAATTCCAGAGGTACTTGATTTTTAGATAATATTTAGCTACATAGAAGGTCTTCTACTTATATATCGTTTTTATTATATACACACCTCTGCAATGAAAATAGATGCTTGCTTTCTGCTTATAAACTGGTTTGGTGGGAATGTTGCATGCGAACGCATTTTTACAATGTTTGTAGTAATTTCTTTTAGAATAATAACTTTTGTCATTTTGACATCTACCATTATATTCGTACAGTACGTTGTAAATAATGAGTACTGTATCAGATGGGCAAGTAATTGTAGCTGGTTTACCGGCATCTATTAACAGACAACCTACAATTAATGATTTCAAAATTCTGAAAGTTATTTTAATCTTTTAATCAATAGTAATATGTGTTTCCAACAAATTATCGAACCAAATTATTAGCCTGGTATCTTTGTCGAGTTTGATTGATCATAACGGAAATCAATACGTTCAATACCATATTTATCGAGGATTGGGTTGAGTGTCAAAATTCCGTTTTATTTCCGCTATTGTCTAACTAAAATAACAACCAAAAGTGAGAGTAGAATCTCAAATGTAAATTAAACATAAGCTGAATTTCAACATTTCTCGATAATCTTAATTATAAACTCTTACCTTCCTAATATTATTATAGTAGCGAAAAATATTTGCATACGATATATTGACCGGGTTATTGGAATATTAAAGCCAAAATAATGCAATGTTTTACAACTATTTTAACAAAAAGAAAAAATTGTGGGGGATTCGTTCTTGTTTTCTAATATTTTCATAAAAAAAAACTTAAGACAAATCGGTTTTCAGTTTAATTAAGTTGAATTGTTTCCCGTCTTAACTCTGTGCACTTATTTGACAGTATAACTTAAACAAATGCTGATTCTTAAATAGATGAAAAGATGTAGTTTCTGTAGAATTGTTCTTTGAATTTTTGGATGTGTGACTAAATTCAACATACAAGGACATACAATATATGAATATATATATTTATAAATACATAAAATTGCCAGCCTTTACCGTATTGGTTATATGACTGGAAAGTCACAAAGCACATGGAATCGGCATACCATGTGTCTGGCATTGGTCCTAATGAAGAATGTGTTGAATATCTATGATATTTACATGTTTGTTGTTTCCCAATAGTAGTTGTTGTCCATATATGTTGAACAGCCCTGTTTTGTCCAAAATAATGACGGGTTTCTGCTAAAGTAAATGGAAATGTGTTTACTCAATTCGCTTTGATTAATACACCTACAAACACTCTAGTGAAAAAGAAAAAAAAACAGGCGGAATTCAGTATTTTAGCAAACAAAATACTTAAGTTACAAATGTAGATATTTTTATACAAAACGGGTCAAAGTTAGAAGATAAAGCTTCGAGTAAAATATGTATACGAATAGTATGACATTACCATAGCTACATGAGAGCATACCTACCAATGAAAAATGATAATAAGTGAAATATTTTGTTTATTCAAAAATGCTAACGACAACGACAACGGCTACGATATATATATATATATATATATATATATATATATATATATTGGTTTTGGAAGAACGTTTTGGATCATAAACTACATTATACTCAAGTATTAGGAATTGATGAACAATCGATAATTATATATATATATACAGACCGTCATGATCAAATGCACATATAATCCTTAAATTCATGAGACACAAAACAGTTAATATTGTATGCATTTTGCACCAATGTATATGTTATAAAAACCATATGCAATTGTTTCAATTAGAACAATGTTAACGACAATTTACAGACCGGAACTGAAAATTGAGGTCGCAATCAATAAAATAATCAAAACTGTATATATATATATATATATATACAAGGGAGTTAATCAAACATTAACGTTGTATTCATGATACGTTTATTACATCCTTTTTATTGTTAATTTTTTTTTATAACTATGATAAAACACAAAATTTTATCATGCCTGTTCTTGTTTCAAATGCTTACGGTGAAATACTGTCGCTTTAAATTAACAAACTTTTATTCGTTACACAGGGAAATTTTACTTTAAGATCAAGATGTCAATTGTTTATATCTATAGTCATGCGAATATTGTTCACTCAAAACAATCGAAATTATAAACAAGACAGATAAATATGACATGCAATTTCAATACCTAAATTATAAGTGTATTCTTCAATGCTGATATTCCATACTCTATACCTAGAAACTAAGAAAACGTCAAACGGAAAGTACAGCAAATGGATTTTTTAAGAGTTATTAATTTCACAGCTCCGTTATTAATAAAAGTCTCTTTATTTATACTTTTTAGTAGTTATTTTATACAAGGCTTATCCTTTAGCACAGCAGACGCACATTTATCCTTAGGACTTTTACCTAATAAAACAGGTAAAAATTAACACAAGTGATTATATGGTAACAAAATAAAACAGAATAGGAACCTCTGCATAATAATTCAGAGGCCCCCTGGTAGATATAATATAATATAAAGACTTTACACAACATGCGAGCATTTATGGATATGTAAATTGTGGTATCTGTAGTGAAAGTACTGAGACCGTATCAACTATTTTGGAGAACTGAAGACGACAATTTATTCAATTCAAGCTTTTCAAATTGATTTAAATAAAATGTGTCATTTTACATTAACATTATTTGATAACAGTAATATATATTAATAAAGTGTTCATGATCAAACTTCACTTCGTTTAACTTCCGTACTTTGAGAAGGGTACACAGGAAATTAACAAAAACATATTTTCGTACACAGATTTTGATCTGACAGCACTTTTAATAAGGCAATTAAGATTATATAATAGTCGCACGACAAACATTATATGTAAGGTATAAAATACATTTAAAAAAAAGTATTACATTTTTGATATGTCAATTAATACATTATGATTGTTTATTAATTAAGGTACAATGCATAATTTACTGTTTTAAACGTAACATACTAAAATATGGTGTGTGTCATTGAGTTGATGCATGCGAATGCCAATTAAAAGGTCCTAATATGATAGTAAACATCATAAAAAGGCACGCAGTCACGAGAATTTAAACGACAAACACTATGTTAACTATGTTAACCTATTTACATTTACATTTGCTCACTGCTTCCTATTGTTTTTTGTTTTTCTTACAGTTATTCATTAGCGAATACACAACATCTTGTTTTAAGCATGCAAATAGTAAGTAATAACTAAAGACTTATTCATTATTATGTCAACACATGCGGTCATCTTAGGCTTTGATTGGATAACATTTATGTTATATGCCATTTGTAATTCTCTCAAGTTCACCTGTTAATATTATACATTAGTAGAGTTTACTGGAATAAGATAAAATAAATATTCAGGATGAGACCATATCAATGTTATATGAACATGAATATAAAATAATATGCAATATAATTGCAAATAAGACGACTATCCAACAGAGTACAAATGAATCAGATTTAAGCAACTACAGGTCACCGTCCGGCCTTCAACAATGAGCAAATCCCACACCGTACATTCAACTATAAAAGCTCCATACATTATTAATTGTGAAACAATTCAAACGAAAACATACAACGGCCTGATTAATAACAAAATAATATACGAAAATCAAACATGACACAGCAACCACCGACATTCAATGAATTAAAGGCTCCTGAGTTAGGACTTCCACATATATAAAGTGGCGGTGTTAAACATGTTTATTATTGCTCAACCCTTTCCATAACCTTGGATTTTTTTTCACATTATGGATTAATTGATCAATTAACATATGTGAAAGTATGAAAAAAAATAATACCCGGAAAAATTATGATTGAAATGATTTGTTGTCACATCCTTTTGACATATATTTCATGCGTATTTAGGAAGAGAAAACAATTAACAATTAAGCATTTAAACTATTTGTTATATTGTAAATCTCGGCCATTGGAAAATCTACTTTGTGGGATGTGGAATTTCCAATTTCCGGCAATATCACGTATGAGACTAAGTAAACAGTTTAGGATCTATATTTTTTATCAGAACGATTGTACTTATCAGATGATTCATGATCAATGTCTAGTCTTTGAAATTTCGACAAATTATAATTAACACCCGACATGCCTTGATGTCTGTTATACCTTCCATGATCACACATTTTTGTGTGTTCGGACTTTTTCTTTTTATTTCTGATTCGAAATATATTATATTAAGAGCTTTCGCTGTTTCCATTTTGTCATTTTGTATTTTCCTCACAAGTCCTATCGTCAACATCACTAATTGTGGGTGATCATCTCTCGGTATCTTCACTCATTGATAGCATTTCAACAAATTATTATTCCGTTTGTTTTTTTTTAAACTCCATCGGTCAGATATTTTTAGCTTTAAAACTCAATACTGGATATTACTTTATATATGCATACCGGGTGAGCTACATGTACAAGAAACTACTAATCCTGTCGAAGCACTCGTATATCGTCTGACTCAAAAAAGAGTACATGATTTTTTTTTAATTCCGATTTCTTGTATTTGTAATTTAACTGTACACATCAACGTCATACCTAATTGGTTGAAAGCTAATGAACAGTTCTGAATTGACTGCAAGCAAATTTGTGGACAGTAATGAATTTATCGCAGTGGATAAGTTTTCTTATGTGAAAATCTTTATTTTCTGTGCATTCTAACTAACCATTTCTTTGATTGGAAAGAAGTTTTTTTTAGAAAACAATACGACATTTATTACGTCAAGTAAATTATGTTCATCAAACTCGAAGATTTAGAATTTTCAACTACTTGATTTATTGTTGAATGAATCTTTGTGAAACTAGATTTTCCTTCTTTTGATTTTATTTATATATTTTAGGGACGTCAAAGAGTTATCGAGTATCGCTCGATATTGTCAAGTATCTAATACCAAAATGATACTCGACTAATCGGTTACCTGTTAAAAAATTGTTGCCCTTTTTAAATAAAACTGATTTTTATTGAGAGAGCCTCTGGTGAAATTAAACAGTCATCTTTGATTAATCAAATTAGCATACGTTTCGAATTTTTGCACTGAATTGTCATTTAAAATCCTCCAAAAAAGCTGTTCTATGCACGACAGTAGATTTTCTGGCTAGCACTTTTGGCTAAACATGTCTTTGCCTTTCACCACATATGTACCGTTAGAACAAATATTTTCTTCTGCAGAACTATTTGTTACATAACAAAATTTAGACACCAACACTGCCCAGAAAAATTGGACATCAAAATATTTCTAAATAAGTACAAATTCGATTCAGGCATCAGTAAGTTCTAATCATCACGCTTTGTTAATCATAAGATGTGGTTTCTTTATACAAATGTAATTACCAAATAATGTTGTTGAATTGGCAATTGTTTTTTTTTTTTTTTCTTTTTTTTTTATTGTGCTTATTAGATTATTGACTAGATTAGTGTTTACATAATTAAGAAAAAGGAGTACATGAGATTATAGTTGTGGTGTAAATTTCTTTGACAACTAACATTATCTAGTCTTCTAATACCAGTTATTGGCATGATACGGGTTATGTTCTTCTCATATATTTTATGATGGTATGACATTAAACCCCTTACGGGAGGGATTGTACTTGATTTTCATATGATGAAGACATAATCTTTCAATCAGTTTAATTGAGGTCAGGAGCTGGCATGTCAGGAACTGCTAGTAGTCCTTTGTTCATTTATGTATCATTGTCATTTTGCTTAGTTTCTTTTGTTACCAATTCTGACATCGGACTCGGACTTCTTTTGAACTGAGTTTTACTGTGCGTATTGCTATGTGTTTCTTTATTCTACATTGGTTAGAGGTATAGGGGGAGGGTTGAGATCTCATTAAACATGTTTAACCCCGCCGCATTTTTGCGCCGGTCCAAAATCAGGAGCCTCTGGCCTTTGTTAGTCTTGTATGTTTTTTTTAATTTTAGTTCATTTATATGTTTTGGAGTTTAGTGTGATGTCCATTTTCACTGATTTAGTACACAATTTTATTTAGGGGCCAGTTGAGAACTACCTTCGGGTGCGGGATTTTCTCGCTGCGTCGAAGACCATTGGTGGCCTTCGGTTGTTGTCTGCTCTTTGGTCGGTTTGTTGTCTCTTTGACATATTCCCCATTTCCATTCTCAATTTTACTATATATTAATGTTGATGGTTTTACATCCATTAGAAAACGACCAACAATACATGCAATAGATAAAAAAAAATTGACTGCACTTTTGTAGATATTAATCGGAGCCATTCTTCAGAGATTTTGTATTCCTTATATATTGATGTAAATTATTTCTGTGCGACTCTTTTTTGCTAAACCCTATGTTCCTTATTGCTACTTACTTCGTTGAAAGCTAAAACACATTATTGCTGAAAATATTACAGAGACTTTTCTTTTCCATTATTCATGTGTGTGTTATTATTACAACAGTTTTTTCTTTCTTGTTTTCGATTAGTAATTTTAAGGTTCACTGGGTGTAGTACTTGATAATGTGCCAGCTCCACGTCGAATGTAGGTAACCAACTTATGGGGTTTTACCTTTACCATCTGAACGAATCATTAAGTCTGTGTATTTGTTTCTATATAAAAACATTAATTTGCACGATCTCCCATGTATTATTAATACTATTATTATCATTATTATTAAAAGGGATAATCGTTATGCGTTTAACAAAGCGGTTACGCAATGTAAAATACACAAACACTAGTCTAGATTTTTTCAAGCAAATTATAGCTTTAACATCTATTAAAATAATTTTAAAATACACGTTCGTGATATCTCTATTTATAATGTACATTTATAACT